TTATAGCAGCACTAGATAACTAAGACAATACTTCTCCCCTGGTGTCTTAGGCTGGGTTCTCTAGAGAAGCAAAACCAGTAAAGCGGATAAATATATATAGAGAGAGATTTATATCAAAGAAATAGCTCATGCAATTGTAGAGGCTGGAATGTCCCAAATCCGTGGATTAGGATAGAGGCTTCTCCTGATTCACATAGTCGCAGGGGCTGGCGAAGTCAAGATTGGCAGGTTGGAAAGCAGGACTCCACTCACAGGCTGTGAAGATCGATGAATACCAGGATTGGCAGATAAGCTGATAGCTCAAGTCCCAAGAGCCAGAGGTCAGATGAACAGGAGGCAGCCGCAGAATCCAGAGCGAGCAAAAAGCCAGGACGTCTGCTTGTATTCAGATGCAGGCCACACCCCCAAGGAAACTCCTTTTCCACTGATTGGCTACTCACAGCATATTCCATCATGAGAGTGATCAGATAGAAGCGCTAAGAATCATGGCCCAGCCAAGTTGACACACAACCTTAACTATCACATCTGGCCAAGCCTCCCCCATAAAACTTACTTACCAAGATGATCCTATTCCCTCAGTCCTCAACATCCAACAAAAATATCCAAAAGCTAACCTCACAAATTTGTGGGCAATGGTAGGCTGAGCCCATAACCAATTTAGTTGACACTGGTATTGAATTCAAGGTGGATAACAGGCAAGCTCTTGTTTGACTATAACATCATATACTCCTATTAACACCATCTGGAATTGCACTAAGGCACACAAACTTACCTTCATAGGAGCACAGAGAATACAGGCAACAGAGGGAGCCTGGTGGGTCTGTAAGGGAATCAAATGACTTCCCCTATCACAAGCCTTCCTTCGTGTGACCCTGGACAATATTTCTTGCATTTGGGTTTGGTTCAAAATTCCAATAGATTTTTACTCAGCAGCAGAGCCCTTCAAGAACTTGACTCCACAAACCAGGCTAGCTGCAACTCTCTATTGCCACAAGATTTTCCAATAGTTTTTCTGGTAGTGAAAGCCTTAAGATCACTAATTTTGGTGGCAATAGGAACAATCCATGTGCAGTACAACATGAAATTAAAAAGAAGTGCAGCCATGTTTAGGAAGTCATGCACACAAATTAAGCAAATGACCCAAGGTCTGGAATTCTAGGCTGAATCCCGTCATACTTCAGGAGGCATTGTATTAGATAACCACAAGTCCTAGATTACTTATTGGCTGTTGAAGGAGGGGTCTGTGCGCTTGTTAACACATTTTGTTGCATGTGGGTAGATAACACTCACCAAGTTATACAGATAGCCAGGGATATGTACTTGTTATTAGTTGCTGTGAAGTCAGCTTCAACTCATGGTGACCTTGTGTATGACAGAACAAAACATTGGCTGGTTCCTACACCATCCTCACAATCTTTGGTATGTTTGAGCCATTGTTGCAGCTATTATGTTAATCCAACTCATTGAGGGTTTCCTCTTTTTTTGCTAACTCTCTACTTTACCAAACATGATGCCCTTTTCTAGCAATTGGTTTTAACTGATGACATGTCCAAAGTAATCAAGATGAAGTCTCAGTATCCTCGCTTCTAAAGAGCATTCAGGATGAACTTCCTCCAAGACTGATTTATTCATTTTTCCAGCAGTCCATGGTATATTCAATACTCTTCACCACAACCACAATTCAAATGTGTCAGTTCTCCTCTGGTTTTCCTTTTCATTGTCCAGCTTTCACATGCATATGAGGTGACTGATAATACCATGGCTTGGGTCAGGTGCATCTTAGTCATCAAAGTGACATCTTTGCTTTTTAAGATTTTTAAAGAGGCCTTTTGCCACAGATTTGCCCAACGCAATACATCATTTAATTTCTTGAATGTTGCTTTTATGTCATTGATTGTTGATCCAAGTAGAATGAAATTCTTGACAACTTCAATTTCTTTACCATTTATTACGTTGATGTTTATTTGCCCAGTTGTGAGAATTTTCACTTTCTTTGCACTGAGGTGTAGTCTATACCGAAGGCATTAGTGAATCCATACCTTCATCAGTAAGTGTTTCAAGCCATCTTCACTTTCAGCAAACAAGGTTGTGTAACCTGCATATTGCAGGTTGTTAACGAGTCTTCCCCCAATCCTGATGCTTGGGCTCTTCTTCATATAGTCCAGTTTCTTGGATTATTTGTTCAGCATACAGATTGAATAAATAAGGTGAAAGAATACAACTCTTCTATGCACCTTTTCTGATTTTAAACTGCACAGTATCCACTTGTTCAGTTCTAACGACTGCCTCTTGAACCGTATAAGGTTCCACATGAGCACAATGAAGTGTTCTAGAATATACCAACCCCCACCCCCCCAAAAAAAAAACAAACTCCGATGCCATTGAGTTGATTCCAACTCACATCAACCCTATAGGACAGAGTAGAGCCACATTATCACTCTATTTGAAAAATAGATTGAACAAATCAACACTTTCTCTTTTACTGATCTGTTCTTCTGGCTTTTCTCCACTAACTGCACAGACTGGCTTTGAATAGGCTTTGAACAGTATACCTAGTTTGTATCCTTATAGGATTCTTGGTCTTTCAGGTGCATTATCATGCAACGAATTTGGATGGGAGTCAAGTAAAGAAAGATAAAACAAGTGGCACAAATCTATAAGAAAGCTAGCATTAATAATGGACTCTGGTCATGTACATTTCAAAGAGCTCCAAGAAAGTCTATTTCTACTTGTGAGGCAAGAAAGCAGGACAACTGAGTTTACTGCTTGACACAAGTGTAAAAGGTTATTTTTGAGTTGATTTTGGCTCATAGTGACCCTATAGGACAGAATAGAACTGCCCCATAGGGTTTCCAAAGAGTGGCTGGTGGATCTGAACTGTTGAACTTTTGGTTAGCACTCAAGTTCTTAACCACTGCATCACCAGGGCTCTTATTTTATCGTAACTAAAAATCAAACCCGTTGCCATCAGGTCAATTCCAAGTCATAGTGAACCTATAGGGCAGAGTAGAACAGCCCCATAGTTTCCAAGGAGTGGCTGGTGGATTCAAACTGCTGACCTTTTGGTTAGCGGCTGTAGCTCTTAACCACTGTGCTACCAGGGCTCCACATAGAAAATATTCAACAAATAACAATTTTCAGCTTTTCAGTCAAAGAGAGAAAAACATTTTCAAGCAATCATGATTAAGAAGCACTTGAAACATGCAAGTATAATGCATTAATTCAACAGGACAAATTTCAAAACCAACTTGAGATTCACATAAAATGTCTTATTGTGCACAAAGTATTGTTTATATATGAGCAAGCAGGTTTTTCTGATGAGCAGTTTGATAATTTTCATCAAAGTCTCAGTATTTGACCCCAACCAGCTTAGCAACTAACATTCATTTTCTCTTTGCAGAGCAATATAGTTTCCAAGATTGGTGTTCGGTGGTAGAATTCTCACCTTCCATGTGAGAGACCTGTGTTCAATTCCCAGCCAGCGCACCTCGTGTATAACCACCACCTGTCTGTCAGTGGAGGCTTGTGTGTTGCTACAATGCTGAACAGATTTCAGGGGAGTTCCCAGAGTAAGATGGAAAAGGAAGAAAAGTCTGGTGATCTTCATCCAAAAATCAGCCAATGAAAACATCACAACCTTTCAATCTGCAACCGATCCTGGGAATGGAGCAGGACTGGGCAGCATTACGTTCCATTATGCACGAAGTTGCCATATGTTGGGGATCGACCTGATGGCAGCTAACAACAACAACAACCCAGTGTAAAAGGTACAGATAATGACTTGCTCTACTTTTTGTAAATTTTTTTACTGATTTTTTTTTTTATTGAGCATCTATTGTCCACCCAGTGTAGGAGTTATGTGGACCAATGAAAAGGTCGTTGTCCTCAAGGAGCTCACACACTGAAATCTGAGAAAAAAATTAAAAACTGTTGTTGTTGTTAGTTGTCATTGAGTCAGTTCTGACTCATGGAGACCCCATGTGTGCAGAGTAGAACTGCTCCATAGGGTTTTCAAGGCTGTGATCTTTTGGAAGCGGATCCCTTGGCCTGTCTTCCGAGGTGCCTGTGTGTGGGTTCAAACAGTCGACCTTTCAGCTAGTAGTTGAGCATTTAAACATGTGTACCACCCAGGATAGTATAATAATATTAGTCCTTTGCCATTTTTGACAGTAAAAAAAAAAAAATAGCAAATAAATGAATTAAGTTCTATTTCCAGTCTAAGCCAATAATGTTGAGATTACATGTTTTTCCTTCATTAAAGCCATCAATGTCTGTAATGTGTGCTTGGAATCTATAACTTATGTTTTATAACAGGAACTCGGACTAGATCAGTATTAGCATTAGTTTACATTTGTAATCAAGGCACAGGATTTTCCTTAAAATTCCAGATTATAAAAGAACAGTTGCAGAACTGAATTTAGGAATTCCTAACTGTTATTTGCTAAGAATATTAGATTACATTCACAAGCCAGCACACACACACACACACACACAATTTTATTACCTTCCATTATATTAAATTTTCTGCATAATGAAAATCAGGAACCAAACTTTCAAAGTGTTGAAGGTATTTTTTAAAGTGCCATATAGTTTTTATTTCCTGGGGCTTAGAATATGTTCATCAAATCTATCATATTCCAAAAATAGACAACAAAAAACTTTGGTTCACCACTGCTCTTTGCATTATATGTATATTAATAAATCATCTCTGAGATTAAAGTACAAACAATTTAAATGATCATAAGAGAAATGACTGTGTAACATAAGTCAGCATGACATTCTAAGAAAAGAAATCTGCATGCAAGCTCATGTCCATGAACATGAGAATTTAGTTAAGGATGAAATCCTGAAGCATATTCTCATGACAGAATGAATCTATTAGTGGAGTTAAGTATTTGCAGGCCTTATTCATTTCCAAATACTTTTCCTAATGCCGGAAACAAAGCAATTCCTGGCTTGTAAAACAGAACAAACTACCCTAAAACATCTGGCATACTTACACACTTTTCGCTGTCAAATACATAACACAAATGTTTATTTGACTCAGAATCTTTGCATATGAAAGTGAATATCCTCTTGTCAGTTTTATCATCTGCACAAAATGATATTCTGTGAAGCTGGCAATTGTGCTGGACTTCCTATGAACACACATGGAAATAAAGATAGTTGATGAGAAATTTTTTTTTTCCATTTTCTGAAACACCAGCTTGTGTTAGTAACATACAACTTAAGACTTTACAAATGGAACAATTATCTATCATACTTGTTGTATGATACGTACACCCCAAACTTAAACAATATGTAAGGGAGATGAGCCTCCTGACTCAGGATTAAAGTAAGATATTCATTTCAATTAAGAACAACAAACAAACAAAAAAAATTGCCGTTGAGTCGATTCTGACTCACAGTGACCCTATAGGAGAGAGTAAAACTGCCCCATAGGGTTTCCAAAGAGCAGCTGGTGGATTTGAACTGCTGACCTTTTGGTTAGCAGCCAAATGCTTCGCCACTATGCCACCAGAGCTCCATTCATTTCAATAGCACTTAGAAAATCACAAGCACAATTCAAGGGAATCAGAGATTCACAGACTTTCAGAGCTGCAAAGAATCTTCAGAAATCATTACTTTAAACCCTTCAATTTTCCGTAAGACACTATTGAAACCAAGATAGATTAAGGTATTTCCACCAGGTTATATAATTAGCAGAGTTAGGATTCAAACTCTTTTCAATCAGAACACTTTTTATCTCACTGCATTACAGTTTATAACACAGCCTCATCTGCACATAATGTCCCCAGTTTTCTTATTAAATAGCTCTACGCATCTTCATCCAGTCTTGAAAACACTGAATCAACCCTGCTAATTAATACAAAGACAAATACTGCAAAGAGATTAAACACACACATTCATGTAATTTGAAAAAATATGTATCCATTGCCATCGAGTAGATTTTGACTCATAGTGAGTCTACTGGACAAAGTTGAACTGCCCTCTAGGGTTTCCGAGGCTGTAATTTTTACAAAAGCAGATCGTCACAGTCACATCTTTCTCCTGTTGGGCTGCTGGTGGGTTTGAAGCACCATTCCTTTGGTTAATAGCCAAGTGCTTAACTACTCTGCAACCAGGGCTCTCTCTCTCTATAATTATTTAGTCAAAAGATTGAGCATTTGACACTCATATCCATATTAACCATTCATTCTCCACAATTTTCTGAAATATGTTGGAAATGGAAAACAAATCAATATTTTCATTAGTCAATTATGAGTGATTAAATTAGTAGAATAAAACATATATTTTTCCATTATAATTATGAATGTCCTTCTCTCAGATGCATTATAATACTAGGAATATCAATCAGAACCGCAAGTCACCAATTACTTAGTGCGTGTTGTAGAAGATTGGAGATGGGAGCAACTATACTTGCATCCAAGGGAGGCTGGCTGACTGTCTCTCCACAAAGTCTTATTTTAGGTTATATCATAAAGAAAACAAAATCAAAAAATATCCTTTGGATAAATGCCAAAATAAAGTTAGATTCTTTTTATTTTAATTTTTAAATTTGCATAGTAATAGAAAGAGAAAATTAATAATAATGTGGTCTAATATTACTCAATCTTTCTAAAACTGGAGGAAATGTAAAAAAGGCAAAAAACCAGAAACAAACAAAACATATTAAAAAGCAATACAATAACATCCCATGCTTCCATCAATTCCCACATTTTAAATTCAAATGTTTTTTGTAAGATTTTGACTCCAGGACAAAAGAAATTAAACATGCTTCCCTTTGTACTTTACTAAAATGAGGATATAAATTATATGTGTAAATAAGCAGTCTCCATAGCATCATTTCTTAGGTGAGCTTAAAAAAGGTAAGAGTAAAGTCTTTAGAAAACAACCCTCGTGGCACCATGGTTAAATGCCCAGCTGTTAACTAAAAAGTCAGGGTGGCTCCAACCCATCCAGAGGGTCTGTGGGAGAAAAGATCTGGCAATCTGCTCCCATAAAGATTGTTATTGTGTTGTTAGGTGCCATCAACACAATTCTGACTTAAAGTAACCCCATGTGACAGAACAGAACGGCCCCCATAGAGTTTTCTAGTCTATAATCTTTATGGTAGCAGATGGCCAAGTTTTTTCTCCCTTGGAGCTGCTGGTGAGTTCGAACCACCAACGTTTCAGTTAGCAGCTGTGCGCTTAACCATGGTACCACTAAGGCTCCTCCCAAAAAGCTTACAGCCTAGGAAACCCTATGAGGCAGCTCTACTCTGTGATATAGGGTCACTAAGAGTAGGAATCAACTCTACAGCACACAACAACAACAAAATATTTAGAGACTTTAAAGAGTAAGTATTAAAAACCACACAAGGATTATCATAGGCATTTATTTTATTAAATTTAAATTCATCTGTGACGTGTCCACATAGAAGGCAAGATTCTATAAGCAAATCAGATACCTATATATAACCTTAAAGAATATTAAGTTTAGCCTCTTATACCCCATTGCCATTGAGTCAATTCCGATTCAGCCTCTTATGGCAAACTAAAACATACTAGGAATCTCCATACAGTAAATGCTTTACTTTCAAGCAACAGAACAATGGTACATCTTAAAGCAATATCATGTTATGATTACATACAAATAATATCAATTAATGGCAAGTATAATAAAAGAAATCCCTAAAGGGCAGCTCTACTCTGCACATATGGAGTCGCCATGAGAAGGAATCAACTCAAGGGCAACTGACAGCAACAACAGTATCAGATGAATTGTAAAATGTAATAATCATACAAAATATAAGATCTAAAATAATGATCTTATCAGTAATTATACTGTAAAGATAAAAAGTACAAATCGTATTTACTAAAACGTTTGAATTTTTTGCTTGGCCTGGTAAGGATACTGATGAATGAATCCGGCATGCTAAAATGTGTAACACCTCCTCTTCTACCGAAACTCATTAAGAACCACGTTATGTAAAATCTAATTCTCACAAAATACCAATGATCAAAAGCGTGAATTATTATAGGGGCTGACTTTTCATTAAAAAAAAAAATTAAACACAAGGCCAATTTTGCTTTCAACTTTGTCTTTGCAAACTTTAAAAATGCACTAATTTCAATACAGACTTGGGGGGGGGGAACGAACAGACACAGTGGATAAAAAAGCAAATTTCAAGGAGTTTTAAAATCTGACATAATAAAAACATGTACCTCCAGAATAAAGACAATCTTTGATTAAAAGATAATGATAATAAATGAACTAACAGGGAGAAAAGGCACACCGATATGATAACCTAACTGGGTAATGGCAAGCTTGAAAGAAACTTTTCACATCTCTCTCATTGGAGGAAAGAGTCTCACTGAAAAGACCTGATGGAATCATGCAAGGAACAATAAATTAGGTTAAAGAAAAAGTTGCAATGCATACTCATATACTTTTCATCCAACAATTTGTAAATTTCAGTGTACCATATTTGGAGCCTTGGTGGTGAAGTAGTTAAGAGCTTGGCTGCTAACCAAAAGGTTTGCAGTTCAAATCCACCAGCTGCTCCTTGGAAAGCTTATAGGGCTGTTCTACTCTGTCCTATAGGGTCGGAATGGATTCAATGGTAATGGTTTTTTTTTTTTTTGGTGCCATATTTGCATTTGCATGATCTGTCTTTCTTCACACACACACACACACACACACACACACACACACACCCCACAACTGTTACAGAAAGTTACCAAATTTATATGGTTCAGAAGAAAACTTGCAACAAACATGATTTACAAATTATTTGTTCTGGCTAGACAGTTGCCAATATATGTATCTATTTTTTAGAAAAGGAAATACTGGACTAGAATTATTTTCTCTGAGATTGTATATGGTTAGACTACACTTTGATGGCTTTCTAATTCACTGTCACTTTGTAATTTATTGCTTCCCCAGCCTATTGTTCTTTTGTAGCTAACATTTACCTAATAAATTCATCTGAGCCAACCAATGTTCAGAAGATAGTGCTTCACTTTCAACTGCCTTGTTACGCAGCAAACTACATGTATCCTATTATATGCTTGAATCACCTTTCATTACTTCCTTTGTCTGTTTTCAGCCACCGCAGCAGTATATTGTTGGATAGCCAAAACCAAAGTAAAGTCTCCACTTTTTTGTTATTTAATATCAAGGGTGGAGAATAGGAGGAAATTAGGCAGGATTGTTGTGGGAGGTCTTAAATTCATGGCTTGAGAAATGTGAAAGATTGCTATGTTCTTTAACTTGGAATTGAACAGTAACTACGGGGGCCTCCACTCCATATTCCACTTGTTCTCAAACAGATTAAAAATGTAAAAGTCCCACATTCAGAAATTCTGATCGCGTTGTCTAAGACGGGGTCTCAGAACTTATTTTTACAAATGCCTCAGGTATTTTTAAATCTAGGTGTTCCTAGGACTATAATTTGAAAATGAGGGCCACTACATATAGCCACCAGAATGTGCAATACACCAGAATGCTCAAACTTTAATCTGCATATGAATCACAGGGATTCTTTTTCAGCTGATGATTCACTTTCAGTAGGTCTAGAATGGGACCTAAGTTTTGACAATTTTAACAAGCTCCCAGGTAATATTGATGTTGCTGGTCCACAGACCACACTTTAAACAGCAAGACATTGCCGGGATTGTTATTCACGTAGATGAAGGTATCAATGGCCCATGCTGGACTAGTGCAAAGTTGCAGACCTCTGGAAAAGACTTCCATAATCTATTTACAGAAGGCCCAGCGTTTCCTTGGGCTTTCCAAATATAGTAATTACTAAATATGCTACAGTATTAGAGGAAAGCACTGACAATATCTATCTGTAAATTATTTGGGGTCGAATGTTAACCAATTTTTCCAAACTATCATGATCTTTACTAAATCACCGAAGAATAATTCTCAGGCATTTGTGAACAAAGTACATATTAATGAATTTGAATCCAAAGTAGGTTGTATTTTAAAATATTTTTACTGGATTTGTAGGGGACAAAGTTTCTTCAATACAAACCTTAGGTTTACACTGGTTATATCTATAGACAATAAGGGGAGGTTCAGAACATCTGAATAAACAAAATATAGCTTTTGTCTTCTTTCCTACTCAGTGAACCACACTGTATGGATCTCTTTAACATGAAGAAAAATTCCAAAATACAAATCCACAAACTACTGAATACACTTAATACAAACTATACAACCCAATTACAGGTTGAAAAACAAACCACACAGAAAACAGTCCCAAAAGGTTGTTTTTCTGCCTAAAAATCTTACAGAATTTCAAATTGTCATTAACTGAGAACTAAATAGTTCTAGTTGGTAAGAAATTTTAAATATTCATTAAAATAGAAATATAACTGCAACTAAAGACCAGAGTGCTTCTGACATTCAAAAGTAAGACCAATTTGGAGAAGTTAAAATTATCTTACCTTCGTTTTAGGTTCTAGAATTTTTACTCCATAAATTGATATCTGCAACTCAACTTTAGGAATTTTCTGGCCTTCAGATTTCTTAATATGTCTGGCAAACTGCAAATGAAAAAGGATTCACATAGTTATAATTCTGTTTCTATAATGAACAAAGATACACATTTGAAGGTTTGCATTCAGTGTTGGATTTTTTTATTATGTAAATTATTACCCATTATAAAGTATTTTGAGTTCTGTTGGCACAATGGTTAAAATGCTTAACTGCTAACCAAAAGGTCCATGATTCTAACTTGCCAGCTGCTCAGTGGGAGAAAGATGTCACAGTCCGCTTCAGCAAAGATCACAGCCTTGGAAACCCTATGGGGAAGTTCTACTCTGTCCTATAGGGTCGCTGTGAGTCAGAATGGACTGGATGGCAGTGAGTTTGGTTTTGGTTTGGTATAAACTGTAACCCCACAAATATTTAGAAGTTCCAGCAATCTACAACCATAGTAATCAATGATTTTCATTAAGTTTTTAAAAATGTGATTTTTAATACACTTTTTTATGACATTGAAAAACAAATCATATTTACACAAACACTTGAGAAAACTGAAAACTCTGTGGGAAGATTAGGAGGGATCAATTTATTTTTCTGTGGATCTTTTACTTTTAATCCCCTTAGAGAACCAGCCATCTTTGCCATTTCCAGGTATTTACCCAGTATGGATCACTCTGCTATCCAACCAGATCGATGAATGGAGAGAGACAAGCTGACATATTCGAATTAAGGATAAGAGTTGAAGTAATTATTCCAGCTAAAAGTCTCACACATAAACCTAGACTCAGTCTAGAATTGTAAATATAGTATCTGAAAAACAAACATTTTTCAATGTTTTCATGGTAGTATTTATTATACTGTCTCAATAAAATAGCAAATGTATGTAAATGCTTGTTAGGTTCCATTATAAAATCAAAAAGAAAATCAGAATACTCATGCATTTACTTTCTTCCTCTCTTTTAGCACTGCCAGATTTTTGGCGGGGGGTGTGGGAGTTACAAGAGCCCAGACAAATTTGAGTATTAAACAACAAATATTTTAAATAAGTTTTATATACATATTCCTACTAAAATGTATATAGTTGTTTACATATGTATACACACATATGTAACATATATAACATATATGTATATATTATATATAAACTTAGTATGTTTCATGCAATATTTGGGATTTACTTACACTAAAAAAGTCATTGTTGATCTGAGATTCAGAGTTAACTGGTTGTTCTGATTTTATCTTATCTGGCAACCATACTCTCTCCCTACTTTCCTTGTCTCTTCCCTCCCCTACCTTCTCTCCTCCCTAATCTAGCTTTCTTTGAAATAAATGGGAAGAAAACTATTGGAAAAAAACCCACAGTTTTTCTCAACCCTCTTCTAGGACTTCAAAAATTATTTCCTAGTATAGTATTTTTTCAGCATATGGATCATCCTAACTTGGCTAGAAACTGATTGCATGTCAGGCAGGGTGGGGTTTCAGTCATATTTATTTGCATTGTGCATTTCACTCTAATTGAGGACAGATGTGAATACACACAGCATAGTTCAGTCCTGTAGCAGAGAGTAGTTAAAAGCTCATTTCTGTTCTCACGGCTTTGGGCTACTATGGAGGCGAATATAATCAACGTATATATGAATGCCTTGAAATGCCTGCCTCGATTTCAGTTTGGGTGGTATAATTTTTCAGCTTGATGTCTGTGCTGTTGTTCTATGAATGTAAGCAGCTTTTTTTTTTTAACCAGCAGTCTTACATTCTGCATGTAAATTTGACTAACTTGTGCCAGAAAATTTTCTTTTTTGTCTTTAAGAAACTTGTTTTGCTTCAATGCAGATCTTTTAAAATTATCTCAGTTCTTTTCCCAAAGAATGTGGATTAATTGTGTTTCTTTTTCCTTCATAATCTCTTTCTGTATTGCATAATTAAAACAATTTGCGTATTTTATCATAAGAATGTTTATAAAATAAATCAGCTGCTCTCCATCTATGTGAAAGCATCTGAAGAAACCAGCTCCCTCTTTGACTGCAGAAGCATTCTGTGCTTGCTTCCTAGATGCTGCTATTCCCAGAGCAGACAGTGAGCAACAGCTGTTGAGGCCTCTTCCACATCTGGACACAGCCACGGCTGTAACCTCTGACAAGAATTGTGGAACCTTTCAGCTTTCAAAAAGTCTACCACAAAACAGCCACTAATATTAAGCTTATCTGCTCAGTTATTTCCTTTCTGTCATGAAAAAAGAAGGGAAGAAAGAAAAAGGGAGGGAGGGAAAAGGAAGGAGGGAGAGGAGGGAGAAAGAGGGAGAAGGAGGGAAAGAGAATGAGCGGGAGGGAAGGGGAAGGAAGCGAGGGAGAAAGGGAAGGAGGAGAGAAGAAGAAAAGAAAGGAAGGAAAAAGGAAATGAAGAGAGGAAGGAAGTGATGGACATGGAAAGAGAGGGGAGGGCAGAAAGAGAAGAGAGAAAGAAAGAACTAGAGAAATAGAAAAAAATAAAATATATGATCTAGGGGTTTCTGAAACCTTTCTCTTTGCTTCATATCAAGATGAAGGAATTGTGCTCAAAGAAGCTTCAGAGAGCATCCAATTCAATAACCCAGTTTAAAAGATGAGAAAAATTAGTACCAGAGAAGTTAATTATTCACCTTAAACATAAAATGAGTTTGTAAGCCTTTATGGCTAGAAACTAGCTTTGCAGATTCCCATTACATAACATCTCCTCTATTGCACAATGCATTTTCTTCATTAAGAAAAATAAAATTTGTGGTTTTATATTCATGAATATCAAGTTTTATACTGGTCACTGGTCTTGATTTTTGCACATATACTGCAAAATTCTTAAGTCTAAGGTTATATTTGTTCTATCTATATTTTAAAGTGTTTAAGACTCTCTTTCTTGCCTCTCTAATTTTTTTTAAACTCAAGCTTACTGTATTTTATAGTCTGCATGCTCCCTCCAGCTCTAAGTTCCTTTTGCTAATTGTAGAACTCTTATTTGTGTTCCAAAATATTTCTAATGCACATTTTGAAAAATGTTGACCATTCTTTCTTAAATTACATTCTTTTTTCTCCCTACTTACTACTTGAATGTTAATACTTGAAGAGTCTTTTTGACAAATTTCTTTCAATTTTTGCTACAGCGAATTCATTTCTTGGTCATCTACATGGAGTGATTTACTATTAAAATTTGAATATAATAATCCAACAAAATTTATTCAAAAACCGTAGAAATTCTGGAGGATGTCTGGACACAATAAGCAAATAAAAAACAAGCCTTAATCACCATAAAATGATAGGGAAGGACAAAGTATTACTTGAAATATAAAGATCTTAGTTAAATTTATGTCACTGGTAAGTAGAACTGCTAAAAAAATTTAAGAGGAGCTTTATTGAGTTTCAATGTTATGTTATTACTAATCAATTTCTATCCATTTCTCAGAGAACTTTTTAAAAAAATGAAATCTAACTATGTTACCAATGGAATACATATTATTAAGCGAGAAGACTAATTATTTTACTATCTTGGATCAATTAGTCTAAGATTACTTTTAAGAGGGTAATTAATAATTTATCAAGTGGGTTTTGCTCTTTGTGGTTCTTTGGACTTAAATTGTTAATGTAAAGTATTACTAATAATCATATGGGGAAATCAGCTATGTACGTATATAATTACAATGAGTGCTAAATATTTTATTAATTAAATGACTGGGTTCTGAAGACAAAAGAGAGTGTTATCCCATTTGGAGAGAATGAGATAGAATGGACAAAGTGCTGAGTGGGTATTTAACAAGCTGGATGGCTGGGGCCCTAGCGGCACAGTGGTTAAGAGCTATGGCTGCTAACCAAAAGGTTGGCAGTTCGAATCCACCAGTTGCTCCTTGGAAACCCTATGGGGTAGTTCTACTCTGTCCTTTAGGGTTGCTATCAACTCAACAACAGTGGGATTTTTTTTTGTTTCTGGATGTAATTCCCAAGGCCATGTTTCCATGAAATAACCTCATGTAATTTTCCTTTGGGAGCCCTGGTGGCACAATAGTTAAGTGTTTGGTTGCTAACTAAAAGGTCCTCAGTTCAAACCCACCAGCTGCTCTGTGGGAGAGAAGACTTGACTATCTGCTTCCATAAAGATTACAGCCTAGGAAACCCTATGGAGCAGTTCTACTATGTCATATAGGGTCGCCATGAGTTGGAATCGACTCGATGGCACACAACAACGATTTTTCCTTTAGGAGCCCCTAGGTGGTACAGTTAAGGCACTCTGCTGTTAACCTTAAACTTGAAGGTTCTAGTCTAGCCAGAGATGCCTTGGAAGAATGGCCTGGAGATCTACTTCTGAAACACCACAGATATCCCAATGGAGCATAGCTCTACTCTTGACACACAGTGGGTTGCCATCAGTCGGAACTGGTTTTAATTTTCTTGTAGCTCCAGTAGAATGAGAATTCTGTCCTCTTAAATGGGGTCTAGGTGTGCTTCCCCTTATTTATCTCTGAAATTGGGAAGGTAACCGAGGAGTGTTAAAACTATATACCAATACTCATTCACATGTAAACATAATTTTTTAATGAAATATATTGAGCTCCTTTCACATTTTCATTAGTTATATTAATAAAAATAAATAATTCAATACTAAAATTAAATTAATTGCAGTAACAACACTATTAAATACATAGAAGTTGAGAGGGTTTTTAAATTACTATATTTTGGAAAAATTGGTATTTTGTTAAATTTTGGACTAAAACATAATCAGGAAATAGAAAACTGCATTTGTTGTTTTGACAAATCAAGAGCTGGAAAATAAATACTTTAATACTTATAAAATTATTATATTTGAGGAAATTATATAACCTATAAATTCTTCATAAAATGACAGAACAATAGTACATAATAAAATAAATAAAGGTTTTAAAATTTTCTTAAAAAATAACTAGGCATAATTCAACATAGAAGCATGAAGAAATACAACATTGACAATCATTTGACTTTTTCTTTCCTTGTATTATTCTTAATTTTTGAACTCTCATTTAATGTCAGAAGCCAATATATTAATATTGCAAGCTTTGGAAAAAGCTTTGGATAAATGTGGTTTATAAAAATGAAATGTTACCTTACATGGAAAATAAAATCAAATACTGAACTATAGTGGATATAAAAAAAAAGCAGTCAGAATACATATGTTTTAAAAAAAGTAGAAAATTAAAATGGGAGATGTGAGCATAAGTCGTCAACCAAACAGATTTCTTTTTTAAGTAGAGCACTGGCACCACCTGCTGGCCATTTCTGCATTACAACACAACTAAAGAGGAGCAAGGGTCTATGTTTTTAAAATAAATGTAAATACTTTGAGTTGTAGCCTCTGACCCCTGATACAATGGAAAAAACAAACAAATGAAAAGTCATCAAAATATAAATAGAGAAAATACATTTTTATGCATTTTCATTAATTCATGAATCATCACCCTCAGATAAACTTTCCTCATATATAAAATTTTTGCTATCAGCAAAGATTGCTTATTAAATATATACGCTGGAAGACACTTTTGAAAGGCAAAATAGCTCATACTATCAACTGAGCACTCACTTTTAAACTATACTACTTACTGTTTATTTTAGTGTATCTAATATTCCTTTGCTAACAGAATACATTTCCATTTGTAAAACATGAAACCACACAGGAATCATATATAAAACCGCACAGAAATGTGTATAAAACTAAAAAATTGTTGAAAACACATTTTATTTCAAATATTTATTTCATTTGATCTAGTCATTTAATTGAATCCATTTCATTTTGGATTTGGATCTACCGACTAAAGAACTTCCTAGGCATAAAGAAACACTAATTGTAAATACAATTGTTCTCCTATAAAACATTCAGATTGTAGTGAAGTTGGACTCATACCCAGAGTTTGCAGCATTTAAGAAAAAAAATTTTTTATTGTGCTTTAGGTGGAACTTTACAGAGCTAATTAGTATCCCATTCAACAGTTTATACACAAATTGTTTTGTGACATTAGTTGCAATTCCCATGATGTGTCAATACTCTCCCCTTCCACAGCCCAACTCCCCATTTTCATCAATCCAGTTTTCCTGTCCCTTTCTGCCTTCTTGTCACTGCTTTTGGGCAAGTGTTGCTCTTTTGGTCTCGGATACAATAACGAACTAAGAAGCACATTCCTCACGTATGTTGTGTTATTATTTGTTTTATAGACCTGCCTAATCTTTGGCTGAAAGGTGAACTTCGGGAGTGACTTCAGTTCTGAGTTAAAAGGGTATCCAGGGGCAATAGTCTCAAGGGTTCTTCCAGTCTCTGTCAGACAGTAAATCTGGTCTTTTTTCTGTGAATTTGAATTTTGTTCTACATTTTTCTCGCCCTCTGTCCAGTACCCTCTAGTGTGATCCCTGTCAGAATGTTTGGTAGTGGTAGCCGGGCACCACTTAGTTCTTCTGGGCTCAGGCTGGTGGAGGCTGTGGTACTTGTGGTCCAGAGTTTGCAACATTTTGAAACTGTTTAAATTGAATTCTATTTTAAATGTGGTTTATAAACTGTAAGGCATTTTTAATCCTCTATCTGTGCTTCAGAATACTGGCCAAACAAGGGCAAGTCTGAACTCTTACTTAATAAACAGTGGAAAGAAATCGTGGGCTAGTCTACTTTCCCCCTCCACCCCTCTCAAATGTTAGTGAGATCATCTGGAACCTTTTAACATATTTAATTTAAAAGATTAGAGAAAATATTTTACCTATTAAACGGATAGATAAAAAATATTACTTACCTTTATTTCTTCACCCAGAACACAGGCCATCCTACTTGATTTTTTTCCTCAAGTCAAATAGTAGATTAAACCTGATATACAATTCTCAGAGCAAATCAATACTTTCTAATGTCCATGACCTTGCCTGGCACATAATTGTATCAATTATGGAATAATTGTGGAATAATTGGATGATCTCTAAACTAAATACAATTAGAAAAAGCATTGCTCTTTAAAAAATAATAAGAGCAACTATAGAGAAAAATACTTGTGTAAATAAAAATAATGGTATGTATGTTTTTCTTAAGGTAAGGATTGATAATAATTTTGCTGAAGCAGCTTTTTAGCGAGAGCCCATGTCCTTTGAGATTAGGTGCAATTTGAAAAACATCCTGTGTGTGGTATCTTATATACTATTTTCTCAGGAAATTGGTTGACGTGAGTAGGTTGGGTTTTTTTATTAAATGTCCTTGTCTAATCTTTGAGTCCAAATGAGTGATAACTCACCACTTCTCCATCGTTACTTGTAAACATGGACAAATCTTGAGCTTGCCGGTCAGGACACCTTTAAGACACATTTTCACCGATAAATTCTGCCTTGGAATCAACCACTTTCAATTGCTGGGTATCTTAACTATTAGAGAGAATTGTTACACCATTACCAGTTTTTTGAGTTAGGGCGTGAGTCCACATTGTCCAAGTAAAGTAAAGGCAAGCAACTTTCCTTCAACACTTCAAGGAAATATTGGCATTAATGTTTTGTTGTGGTTGCGTATGAGAAATTACACCTAAGAAAAATATGAATAGTGTACCAAATTCAGAAAAAGGATGGATTGTGTGTACATACTTATTATTAAATATTTTTCCTTGACCTGGCTGTATTTATTTAATAGCTGATTTTTTAAAGGGTGAAGCTGTACCTACCACAAAGTTATTCATGCTCTGAATTTTCATCAATCTGTTGATGCCTTTAGGCCAGATTAATATACTAGACGTTCACTCGGAGGGTTTTCCCTACCTTTAGTTTTCTCACAGCGTCTCTTACAACTTCTGTTCCTTTGGGCTGCTCCACTTCTGTGCTGCCAAGAAACTGAAAATGCTCATTTGTGAGACACAAGGCTTTACTGCATTGTATATTATTAAATCATTTTGGAACTGTAACATTTGCATAACAGAATGATTTGATAGTAATATACACTTAAATCCTAATTAAACTGAAAAGTCATTAACTTAAATTATTTTTAAATGACATGAAAATATAAACATATCACATGGTCTGATACAATTCATATTATTCAAAGATTTTTGTTTAAACCTACACTTTTCTTGAATATTTTACTTGCAGATTTTTACTGGAAAGAAAATTAAAGCTATTTGATTGAACCCAAAGGAATAAAGTTGATCTCAAGTGTTAAAATTTAGTAAACACAGTAACAATTTAAAAATTATTATCTGTAAATTCAAAGCTTAAAAACATTTTTTTCTTTGTTACTGTACTTAAAACTCAATAGTATTTTTTAAGATATTAAAATTTTAAATGGTTTAATATTGGTTATGATTTCAACATTCTTCTCTTCAATTTTGACACTCATGTAGCATGTAGAATTTTTAAGACAAACTATTTCTCAATACCTAATATATACCACCTATCAAACCTACAGCTAATCTAGATAAAACATAATTAAAACATGATCTACAATTATTAAGCTTTTAAATATCCCTGAAGGTAGTCATTGAGGATTGTTAGTTAAAATCAGACACATCTCCCCCACAAAAAGTTTCATAATATACCAATACATTGTAATAAAACACCCAGGGGAGACATAATCCCTCCTAAACATGAGTCTAATATCATGAAACATTGAAGACCAATTAGAATTAAAATATGAATATTTTATTTTATACATTTCTGTATAGAGAATAATCATTAAATTCTTGAAATATATGTAATTTCCCCAAAGCTTTTTTGCTCTTCTCACATGCTGCCAATTATAACATCAAAGAGAGTCATGAATTCATTACTCTTCATATATATATGTGTATATGTAAATACATATGTGTATAAGTATATGCCTATATATATAACCAAACCAAACCTGTTCCATGGAGTCGATTCCAACTCCTAGCGACCCTACAGGACAGAGTTGAACTGCCCCATAGCGTTTCCAGGGAGCACCTGGTGGATTCGAGCTGCTGACATTTTGGTTAGCAGCCATAGCTCTTAACCACTGTGCCACCAGGGCTATCCATACGTACATATGTGTGTGTATATATATACATACTCGGAGCCCTGGGGGCACAGCGATTAAGAGCTAAGGCAAGCTCTGCTGCTAACCAAAAGGTCCGTGGTAGTTTGAATCCACCAGATGCTCCTTGCAAACCATATGGAGCAGTTCTACTCTGTCCTGCAGGGTCGCTATAAGTCAGAATCGGCTCAAGGGCAATGAGTTTGGATTTGGTTTTGGTATACACAAAAACATACGTGTCTGTGTTTCACATTAAATAATTACATAGAATCTTTTTCATGTGTTAACTCACAAAGTGGAAGGGAACAAAATAGTGAAGTCATGGTATTTTTTAAATTGATTGTTTTTTTTATTGATTTTTTTTGGGGGGAAAAAAACACAACTAAAGAAATGAGAATCATGTTTCTCAAAAAGGGCTCTCTGGACTACTTGTAAGAGAATTACCCAGGAAGGTTAATAATGTAAAAATGCAGATCCCCGAGTTACATAATCAGAATCTTTGGGGGTTGTTGTTGTTAGTTGCTGTCCTGTGGATTCTGACTCATGATGACTCCATGTCTGCAGAGTAGAACTGCTCCGCAGGTTTTCAAGGCTGTGACCTTTTCGAAGCAGATCATCAAACCTATCTTCCCAGGCACCTCTGGGTGGGTTCCAATCGCCAACCTTTTGTCTAGCGGTAGAGCACTGGGGAATTATATTCCAAAAATATTGTCATAGGTGATTCCTTGCAAACTAAGGTCTAAGGAACAGAATTAGAAAATAACAACAGGTCGTGAGGATGGTGGAAGAAAATAAAAACAAAAATACCCATTGCTGTCTAGTCGATTCCAACTCATAGCAACCCTATATGACAGAATAGATTTGCCCTATAGGGTTTCCAAGGAGGGGCTGGTGGATTTAAACTGCTTACCTTTTGGTTAGCAGCCTGAGCTCTTAACCACTTTGAGTTCAAAATACGAAGATGACTACTGATCCCCTTTCTGGAGAGCTCATGGAGGAGAGAAAATAAAACTTGGATGCATAAGGCTAACGGGTTTCTTTTTTCAGATTCCATAAGGTGCAACAGTTCCTTTTTTGCCAATATGCTCAAACTACACCAAACAACTTCTACCAGGGCCTAGATAGCCATATCATCAGACACTCCGTTTGCACCACTGTAACCTCACATTGTTGGCCAAGCTTACAAAAAAGACTGAAATGAACAGAGAACTTATCAGCTTAAAAGGAACTAAAAACCTACTGCCCAGATATGAGAGATGGTCAAAACCATTCCTGACACCACTGGGCCTGTCACTTTCTTCTGTTTTACATCACTGGTTTTCAACCTTGTTTGCATAACAGATTCACATGGGCAGCTTTAAAGTTATATCAACGCCTACGAGTCTGATTTAAATGGTCTTGGGAAGAACCAGGGCATCTGTATATTATAAAGCTCTTCAGGTGATTTTAATGTGCCACCAGGTTCAAAAAGCACTATTTTAGATCATCCAGATTGGACAACGGTTTCAAGTGACAGGATGGTAGTTAACACAACAGGAGCTATTTAGTTCTGAGTAAATCCCTATTCTCAACTTTTCTGAATTTATCATAGCACCTAGAGCTTCACCATCGGTAAGTGATTCCTGAACTAGAAGATTCTTTATTGGAAAGTGATTCTTGAACTAGAAGAAGGAAGAGTCTCATGTGGCAATACCAGACGGTAATAGTTGCTGGAATATATTTGAAGGAATATTCATACTTTGGCAGAAATATCATGAGTCATAAGTATTATATGCAAATACACCCATATGGGAAAATAATGGAAGAACTCCAAGTATATTCTAAATAAATTAACCTCTAAAGCACTTTTTAACATGTTTCTTTCACACTGGCTTTAATTAAACATCAGAGTAATGAAATACAGGGAGAAGCCTTGAATGATGGTAGAAATTAAACTACAAAGACATCTTAATATGGAGTTGTTAGGTTAACCCAACTTCTTCTTATGTAATGTTAGATGACTTATACGGAAATAATTTTAAAACTGAAATGCAGCTTATTCCTTATAATAGCCCATGTTTTTTAAAATTATAAAAGCCACAATTCTTAGCTTAGACTAAATAATTCACACTTATGTGCAGTCCGCAGGTCAATATCCAATATTTATAAAACTCTTAAATATGATGCAGCATGCTGGAACAAGCTCTCGGCTTAGAATATGAAGGTGCAAGAAGGAAAAGCCATTTAATCTCTGCCTCATTTGACTCTTTGGAAAAATAAGGATAATAATATTACTCTTCTAGCCTTATAAAATTGTGCTGAAGATCAACTGTCATAATAAACGGACAAAAATTCTGAAAACTGCAAAGTATTTTATAATTATGACTATCATCATCCTTTAATTAATGATTGTTTTGGGAAGGCACTAGGGTTTAGTGGGTGCTGTTGGTGCCCTGGCTCATATCTCCTTGGATCCATTTTATCAGCTCGGGTACCCATCCTCCAGCTTCTGCACGCTTCGCTGGTAATGGCTCACACTCTAAACATTCAGGGGATTCTCTTTAGGCAATGGGGTCATTTTATCAGTATTGAGGGTAGAAGCTCCTGGGAGTTTTTGCTTCCCCTTACTTCACACATTCTTTAGCCAAGGAATGACTTGGTGTGGAAGTACAAAAGTCACTTCCTTTGCCTGGAGGTGGGGTAAACTCAAAGGTGTATTTTGTTTTTTCTTTTTATTGTATCCTGTTGCCAATCCTTGAAGGTGTGCTTTGATGATGCAGAGCTTCCAAAGGGTCAGGATGAGAGTGGGGCTTCATCTGATATTGTACTCTTCTTTGATTTTTTACCTTTGTCTAGCCTGTTTTTCCCACTCCCTTACCAGTTTTTCCTGGTATACTTCCTTAATAATTCACTTGCACCCAAATCTTTGCCTTGGGGTCTGATTCTGAGAACCTGACCTAAGACATTGGGTAAGTGCTTGAATGCTTGCATTCCAGTAGTGTCCTGTCTAGTATACAAACCCACATGTAAATGAAATACTGTGTCATATTGCTATCAAAAGGTTTATATAAAATATATGGGCTAGTGGTAAGACTTTGGTTTCCATCTTTCTCCTCTCCATTTGGTACCTGAGAGTAAAAAAAAAAGATGGAATTGAATCATGTCATGACCAAGGAATTAATCCATTCCATCTAATAGAAGAGAGCTACTAACTAACTGAAGAGGCTAGGAGGGAGCTCTGGACTGCAAAATGCTAGGCACGGTTGAGCACTGAAGTGAGGCACCTTACTGAAACAAAAAAATTAAGTACAAGTCCACATGCTGAACTGAAAGTCCTCTAACTCCTTCCCCAGTCTGGCTCCTGGGAATACTGGCTGTCCTAAAATTTACCTGCCATGCCCCAGTTCTCAGTAAGAAAAGAAGAGAATGAAATAAGAAAGGAATAAATGGAATCCAGGAAACATGGGAGGGATGATAAGGAGAGGAAATGGGAACTGCCAGCGTAACCATGAATGGTCCAGAATAACGACTGTGCAACAAACTTAGAGAATAACAGTGGAGATGGGAACAGGGGAAAACAAAACTAGACAGATAGACAGACAAGATGATGACGATGATGATGATAAGAGGAAGGATATCAGAAGGATGTCTCTCAAAAAATGAAACGGAAAGGTTATTTGGATCATTTGATCTTATTGAGAGTAGTTTTACAGCTTTCTCGAAGAGTTGGGAGATAAATTACTTAGTGTTTAGAAAACTAAGCAGTTGAAAAATTTTAGCAATTATTTATTCAAGAAAAAAATTAGATAATGCAAGAAAGGAAATGCAATCATAGTAAATCAGCTGGCTTAGGAATGCACAATGT